TGATAGCTGCCAAATTTGCAAATTTGATAAAAACACGTTTCATGTTGATTTGCAATTTATTTTCTTTTTCTTTTTGGGACTAGAGAAATGTGTTTAATTATTCTTTGCGAATACAATCTTACGAAGCTTACTCCATCTATCTCAATTTATAATGTATAGTTTGAATTTTCAAGAGTCAAATCCTTTAATTTTTATTGTAAATTCAGGCATGAAGTCTTTAAATTGTTAAAATAAAATTTATATATTTAAAAACAACGTAAAAAGTACTATAAGTCATAATAATTAATCCGCAAACCATCTTCTAAGTGGTCGCGTTTAAAGGGAAAGAATTAGATTTTTTATTATTCACAAACCATCCTCAAAAGTTGAGATATCTTAATCTATCTCTAATAAAACACAATTAATTTGCGATCCAATTTTCTTCAAGGGTCATTACCTATTCTAACAAATTCCACAAGATACTTCATATCAAAAAATAATCCGAGTGAAGAAATTCCTTTTATATATTTGTAAAATCGATTTGAGTCATTGAAATTTAATTTTATCAAAATATTCGAGCATGAGAAATTTGAAAACTCTTGGAGGTCTCATGAAAATAAAATACCCTTTGCAATACGACTTTATTAGGCAGATTGAAAAATCACCTAATTTTTACACATTTCAATGACAGATAGGTCACTTACTATAAAATTACGTTCACTCCTCGAAACCCATAAGTCTCAGGTGTTTCAAATTGAAACGACGATAGTTTAACTAGGAAAAATAAATAACTTGTTATTCGAATGTAAAACTCACGAAAAAAAATGAAATTCTATATCTACTATATTAGAAGAACTAGTGGAAATGTTGGTATCGACATGCCTGCTTGGCATTTTGAATGATATTCTATATCTACTCTTTGGACAATTTGCTTGCCACTTCTTTCCTCAACATATATTATCATTTCTTTCCTTTATATTTTTCAACTTACCATTATTTATTTATCTAAATAAACATTGTTTAGTTATATGCATTATTTATTAACATTAACGTATGAAGATTATATTAAAATTATTTTTTAGTGGTAATAGTTTGATTGTCGCTAAATATGTACTTTTAATGACAATTAGCTCTCTTCGTCAGTCTTCATAGCCTC